CGCGTCACAAGATCCGGAATCTTTCGAATCAGGCATCCGAAGTCTACGTAAAAAATGGAAAAATATAGTTGATGATTTTGGCGAGTACCTTTTGGAATAAAGTCTTTTATTATTAATTTTCGAGGTGTTTGAACGTTGCGTATAATACGCAGTTTCTTTTGCAAACCCCTAATAACTGTTTTTTACTGAACTTTGTTTCGGAAAAAGTAAGAAAAATGGAAAAAGAGGGGATGTAAGAAATATATGTTGATGTTTTGATCTATATAATTTCTTGTGAGACCGTGTCTCGGTGTGGTTCAATGGTGGTCTTCCTGAAAACGCACAATTTATCCAACTTTCCCTTATTAGGGCAACTTCGCTCAAACTGCACTATCACAATTAAATCAACACTTGAATGTGAAAAAAGAAAGATAAAGAACAAAAAAGGAGCACCACCAACTCACTCAAAAGCAAAGCTTAAATAATGGGTTTTTTAAGCATACAAGCTACAACAACCGGACAGCTGAATATCATCTAGTGACTGATTACGGTAGTTTATCCATCGACTTTGAATTTTAACTTGTATTGAATTTTTGACTAACTGCAGAGCAGTGGCAATTCGCCACAGGGAACAAATCTTCAGATTGTTTACTTTTTTGTCTTTTTTTGCCGCACACTACCCAGGAGGAGGCAAGAAAAAAAAAAGATAAAAACTCTTTTTCCCAAATCGACTCCGAAAGGACTTTTTGATTGCGCAACAAAAGGCTCTATTGATTGCATTGATGTATTGATTGCAAATTTTGCGCTTCCATTGAAATATTTACCGTTCTGAAAGGATCCTGCTTTTCAATGAAAATTCTTGAAATGACGCTGAAAGAATTGGGGATACGAGTGGATTTGGAACTGTTTACAAATTGCAAAAACCAGGAACAGCGTAAGTTCACTTTTTATTTTATTGGATCTATCGCTGGTGTAGCTTAGGCTTTTTCTGATAGAACTGAAAAAGAAAAAGCAAAACAAATCGGAATAATAATTTAGAATGATTGTCGTAAAAGAGATTTCGAAACATGTCACTGATCAAAAAACGTATTTTGCTGAGATGAAAATGCTGAAAAGCCTATCGCACAAAAATATCGTCGATTATTTGGATGAACCAGACAACTATCATGCTGATGACGGCTATTTTGCGATTTTTATGGAGTACTGCGAGAACGGATCACTAAGGAAAGGTTTACTTTGATTTTATTCCGAAATTCGAAAAAAAATGTTTCATACAAGATTCGGTAGGCGCTTGTTTGCTATTGTTAGATAATTGCTTTTTAACCCACAGGATCTCTATAAGGCTGACATCTACGCACTAGGGTTGATATTTTGGGAGCTGATCGAAAGAAGGTCGTGTTTTGTGTTTTTTGTAAAAAATGCTGATGAAACCGATTGGCGTGAACGGGGTACGATATTCTAGTCCAATAACAATGGAGGACACGTTTCAAGGATTCACTGTTCCCGACATTCGAACATTTGAATCGGCGAGCAACCATCACAATTATGAAAACTCAATGAGCGAGAGTTCTCGGGAACAAAGGCGATCTGATCCCAGGGAAGCCCAGATAAAAGAACCTGAGGCGCTGTCGATAAACACTCCTTTTGAAATGCCCTCCGACATACCCTCGTTTGATGAGCCATCCTTCCCAAGAGACAAGGCCTATCAAGAAGTCAAACCTCTGCCTGAGAATCAGGAAATTCTTGCCCTTGTTTTGAACAAAATGAATATTACTACTGATTTCGAGACAGTAACCTTTAACGAATACATGCTTTCTTTGTTTCACGAGCGAGACTTTATGAGGAGTTCGGGTAAAATGGCCGAGCGTTTCTTTGAAAAGTCCAAAGAGTCTTTACTGGATTGGGCCAAATATGATGGAGCTCGAATCAACTGGGCAAGGTACGAATTCTATGATGTCAACTTGTTTCGGCGTATGCTTTGCGACGATTTCCTTCAAAACTTTAAAGAGCTCACAGAATCGGAGAGGGATCAATTTGCGGTGAGTGATTGTCGAAATTACAGGCAAACAAAATCCGTGAAACCCTTCCACCGTTACCTTCAATTTGTTTCAAGAGACGAGAATGCGCCCCTTGAACGTGTTAGAGACGCGTTTTATCAGATTTTGGACCTGGATACTTTGCTCCAAAGCTTTTGCTTCATGCAAGCGTTCAGTATACTACGGCAATGGGAGGCTCGTTCTCGAATTGGGATCTCTTAAAATTGCTCAAGATATCGCACAAGAACTTTGATCAATTAGAGGAACTCTTTACACAAACGTACTACGATTTCGTTTGCGTGTTTCTTGCGAATTCAAAAGAGGAATGGTGCTTCAGTAAAGAATTGCTGTTCAATCAAAAAATATTGCTCTTTCGCGCAGATCTTTCCGATTTCTTTGTGGTGGACAGACTAGAAGAGGCTCCTATTGAGTTGATGACAGACTCGCTGAAATCGATCGGTTACGAAATGGTGAAGAGAAAATTGCGAGACAGAGAGACGACACTTTTCAAATATATGCTAGTAAAAGTGCACTCATCTCTGTCCAATGTCCGACATAGGATAGAAGAATTCTTCAGAAACAAAGAAACCTTTAAAGTTTATCAGAGATGGATGGGATTCAATGTTTCTGGGCATGACCGGCCATTTTCTAGAGATTTCTTTATTTTTAATGTTCCACCTGGATCTCATGTTCTCAACGAAGAAGGCGGACTTTGGGAGGCTGGAGGATTTCCGGAAGATGTTGATAAAAAGCTACAGACTCATTACTCCCACATCCATAATGTGGATCAGATTTTGGCAGTCGAATTCTATACGTATTTTTTTCGGGCATTTTTCTTGCTCAATCCATGGAGAGCTTTAGAGCATTCACCAGAACTTGTATGCCTACTCAAAGAGATTCTTCTGAAAATAAATGATCGAGACTTTAAATTCATTCTATTGTATGTGGAATCAAAAACAGAAGAGTTAGAGGGACTCTTTTTAGACCAGCAACACCATTCGTCGCTTATTTTTACTAGGGAATTTGAGTTGGTAAAAGTGGAAAGGCGGGCAAGGCATAGCTTGAAGATTGTGGGATTTGTGGAAGTATCGATGCAAGGGTTATGCGAAATCTTGATCAAAATGTGGCGCTCGTTGCAGGACCTTCATCGGGGTTTGTTCTAGGGAAATCCCTGGTACTATTGACACTAATACATTTAGGTATCGGAATCGATTTGTTCGAAAATAAAGAGAGTTATCTGACGTTTCATCGAGAATCGACTATAGATGCAATTGAGAACTTTTGGAGGAATCTAACATTTATGCTGACTACCGATAATCTTTAATAAATCTTTTTGTAGTTTTGTTTAAAGCTAAAGCAGAAACCGGCTAGTTGGTTCAACCGATCAATCGGTTTTTTTCTCAGTTAGTACTGGAATAAAATTGTGGCCATTCTAGTGGTGAAAGTTTGAAAATGCGATACGAAGGAAATTTCGAAGTTGAATTTATGAAAATTTCATTCAAATTGCAAAGCTTCCAAAAGCGTTCTTTGAAGAAAATCTACAATTATGAATAATCAACATTTTGCGAGCTTCTCCCTCCCAAACTCTCGTTACAGTGTTCATTTGTTGGAAAATTATAAACCAAATTTGGGTGTTTCTCTTAAAAATTCCATTCTTTGCATTTACCCGATTTGAACACATTCACGACGAAGCCATTTTTTTTTTTCATGTTGTTGTAGATGTTGTCCAATCTGATCTAACTCTCCGATTATGTTGAGCTCCAAAACGTTTTTTGTTTTATCAATGTTTCTGAGTTTACAAAGTTTAACGGTTTTTAATGTTTGCCACAATCAAAAACTGAATTCTTCGATTGCGTGATGGCTTTCAAATTTAAATTTCAAATTTTCCTCATTTAACTGCTTTTATTAGGTGTGTGAAAAAGTAATCCACGTTTTTTATTTTTATCTGATGACCAAATAAGACGCGGTCTTCTCAAAAACCCTCGTTCAACCTCTTCAGAAATAGGCCTTACATTAAATTGTGATGGGTCAACCGTAAGGAAACGCTTGAATGCCATGAATTTTATCAAAAAGTTGGACAAATGGACACCGCATGAACGATAACGCGCGACCACATGTCTCTTTACAGACTCGACAAAAAATCCAGAGTGTTGGATGGAAGGTTTTACCACATCCACCTTATAGTCCAGACCTTTCTCCATCTGATTATTATTTATTTTTGTCTCTGTCTAACTTTTTGGCCAATAAACGGTTCAATTCCGAAGAAGATGTCAAAACCGAGGTTGATCTTTTCTTCGCCTCTACGGACCAAGATTTTTATTATCGTGGAATGTCTTTACTTGTAGAACGTTGGCAAAAGGTTGTTCTTTCGAATGGTGATTACTTCGTTGAATAAAAATTATTTTAACGAGACTTATGGTCTTTATATTTAAACGTTAAAAACGTGGATTACTTTTTCACACACCTAATAGAAATTTTTCAGTCAAACAAAAGAAAGTTTTTTGTGTTATCTGATTGTTGTAAAAGCAAAAAATAAAACTTATTTCACCTTTTTAAACAAAATCACAAAAGAAAATTGTCATGAATTTGAAAGCTTAAGTAAAGTAATGATGGAATGATTCTTAAATCAAAATTTCTGTTTCTGATCTTTTTGCTCTTGAAGAAAAATCGATTCCAGGCGTTTATTTGAGTTTTCAAAGCAAATAACAAAAACTCGGGTCGGTGCTTGCTCAGAAAAGGGGGGCACATGCCTCTCTACTTATCAACTCATTTCAGCACTTATGGATTGAAAAAGAAAGGCGATACATAATCGACGATCGCAATCCGAACTCATTCGGAACTCTATTTTTAAGGGAATTCACCTGAAATTGAGCTTTTCATTTTGTGAAGACTAAAATTCTCATTTGGAAAGCTTAATTAATTTGTTGTTTTCCTTAAAAACAACAAATTTCTAGCAACATTTTGACGTTTTGCTCAAATTATACGATGACCAAGCTAAATGAATCACTTCGAATTTGTATTATGATTAGAAATTCACAAAAAGAGGTAAGAAAAAGAAAATAAGCAAAAAAAAAAAAACTTGCTTTTAGCAGTATGGATGCGATGTGATGACTCATAATGGAGAGCATCTGATCGGTGAGTGCCTTAGTGCAATAATGTTATAAAATCTTATTGTCAAGGCTAATTTTAATCTTAAAATTTCAAAAAAGCAAATGACTTGCTTAAAAAAAATTGTTGTTCACGGGAAATCATTCACATTTTGAACTTGAAGTTGTAGAGCAGGTTTTCCAGACTTTTGGATCAAAGTTTTTTCGCTTTTCCAAAATACTTCTACTTAAAAATGCCTCCAAATGTCTTGTTCTTGTGTTTTTTCACTCAAGTTTTATGTATTTCAGTATCAATCATCCCGGGAAGTATCGCCGAGAGAAGCGGCTTGAAGAGAGTTCATCGAATCGTTGCCGTCAATGGGATCAATGTACTCGAGCTGGCCCAGACACAGGTCAGTGACTCGCAAAAGACTCCTGGGGGTGTTCAATTGTTTGTCTTGCTGACTTTACTTGATACCTTTTCAGATCTCCTACCTCATCCTGTCGAATCCTTTGAAATGCGAGCTACTCGTGATTGACCCGAGCTTCTCAACACACAAAAACCCCGAATGGGACCGGATTGTTTCGGAATTGGTTTGTTGAAAATTGCGCACTGTTTTTTCAAGTCCAGTTAAGAGCAAAACAATTTCTGGTTAAAGCAAACATTGTGAAATAGCAAAAAAAAACTGAAAGGCTAAGATTAATTAGTTTATGATACGACTGGAATGATACAGTCTTTCTAATTAAACTGTCCTGAAGTGTTATGATGTTGTTAGAATTCAATTATTTCACGAAACAGCCAAAAAGTTTACACTTTGAGTAACTACCTAAACAAACACATTTTTTGACTCTTCTAGGATTCTCCGGCCTCGATTTGCCTGCATTCTCCCTACATGTTGTCCTCAAATAACAATGGAATGGAAATGATTGAAAAAGCCGTCAACAAGATCTTCTCAATGCCCACAAAAAGCTATTCTCGAGTCGGCGAGGAAGAGGTGAGAGAATGAATGAGCAAAAATGATTTGCCCATTGATCTGCACAAAAAAAAAGGTCAAATTATTTCTTGTGCCAAACTAGTTTCTCTAGCCAACTAGCCAACTTTTTTGGGGTGACACGAAATTATTCCTTTCTGTAGGAAAAGGGGTGACATTCTTGTTTCCTCAGAACCAAATGTAAAGATTAAAAATAGCTCTCTTTGGAAAAATGGGCACTAATAAAGCAGTTAATAGCTAACTAAACTTTTCAAAAACTTTCTCTATCGATCACATTGAAATCGCTTGTCGATGTCGATTGAAAGGGCAACAAAATTCTCCATTTCAGAGCCTCCTCATCGACAGCGAAGGATAGGGCAAAAAAAGATCGCAAATAAATTTTTTGAATGAAAATTTTGCAATAAAAAAACAAAGCACAAGACACTTTGTTCAACTACCGCCCTTAAAAAATCCTTTTGAACTGAAATTTGACTGCAAGTAGCACTGAACTATTGGGTTGTCCAGTTATGAATGCGCGTTTTTACTATTTTGTAAATTTCTCAAGACATCGAACAGATGTATATGAGTGTTATATATCATTCGAACGCTGAAAATCTCCTCTACATTTTGGAATAAAAAAGTTTTTGAATTCATGCAACTTTTTGGGAAATTGACCGCACAAAGGGAGAGGTCGTTTTCGAAAAAACCAATTCCAGCTTAGCTATTCCTCAAGTTTTATGATGTAAAATAACCGCCCAGAAAAGAAAAGAAAAGTAAAGAGGCTCTGAAATTGTTATATTTTAAAAAAAGTTGTATTGATACAGTAGCGGACATAATTTTGGAAACTTTTGTTTTTTCTAAAAAATTTTTTTTGAGTAAAATCTGATTCGGTATGTTTACAAGCGAAAATATGTAGACCTAAAAAGCACGTAATAATCCATAGACAGAACTGCTTAACTTTTTGAAAACTATTATTTTTAATGCATTTATCTATAAACCCAGAGGACATAAATTTGGAAACTTTCATAAAAACCTCAGCTATATTACTTTTTTGTTCTATTTTTATCTTTTTAAACCTCTACTAATTATTTTAACTTTTTTTTATAGATGGGCAGCAAGAAAGAGACTTCAACAGAGAAACGCGAAGATGTTGTATGGATGCACCAAAATAGGCAAATGCAGACATTTATCGCTCGATCCCTTGGTCTTTCAAAGAGTACTGTATCAAAAATTTTAAAAAGATACGCTCGAACTGGAACAGCAAATACTCATAAGCATACGGGAAAACACAGAAAGACCACAAAACGAGATGGTTTGCAGATGAAATACTCTTTCAAAGGCTGACCCAAAGCAGTCGTCGGTCGAGATTTACGCCGATTTGCCTGACAAAGTCAAAAAGAAAATTAGTTCAAAGACAGTACAACGTCATTTACGCGGATTTGGATTGTTTGGTCGACGTCCTGCTCATAAGACGCCGATCTCTGCAAAGATTCGCAAGCTTCGAGGCAAAATCACAGAAGAGCATCGATATTGGACGGCTCAACAATGGTCTATTTGCCTCTTTTCGGACGAAGGTAAGTTCGCATTGTTTGAATCTGATGGCTTTCGATATGTTCGTCGTCATGCCAACAAAAGGTTCAGTAAAGGATACGTAATTCCGACTTTGAAGCATGACGGTGGTAGTGATCTTGTATGGAGTGGCTTTTCAGCTTACGGAATGATCCCATTAAAATGCACTGATGGAATTATAGACAAACGTGCTTGCTCGGACATTTTATCGAAACATAAGCTTCCCTCCAGTTGAATGCCTTTCAGTTGATGCCTTCCAACTTTCTTTTTCGACAGGGCAAACATACTTCGAGGGGCTTGTAAAGGACTGGCTTCAGAAGGAAGGAATTATTTTATGGAATGGCCGAGCCAGAGTTCTGATTTAAACCATATTGAACATCTATAGGAAGTTCTGGAGAGAGCCTGTCAGGCGTTCAGAGCCATAATCTTAATGAAAAATTCGAGCTTTTGGCTAAGAAGTGGATGGAAATTCAAACAACAACCATCGACAACTTGGTCGCTTCGATGAGCGCTCGGTGCCAGACTATTATTGATCCTAAAGGATCTTCCACAAAGTATTGAATTGATTTATTTGTTTTTGTTTTAATTTAGGAGTTTAATGGTTTGTTACGTTATTATTTAGGGTTGCTTTTAAAAGTTTCCAAATTTATGTCCTCTGGGTTTATAGATAAATGCATTAAAAATAATAGTTTTCAAAAAGTTAAGCAGTTCTGTCTATGGATTATTACGTGCTTTTTAGGTCTACATATTTTCGCTTGTAAACATACCGAATCAGATTTTACTGAGAGAATTTTTTTAGAAAAAACAAAAGTTTCCAAAATTATGTCCGCTACTGTATATCTATTGGCCAAACATCAAACGGTTAACTCAGTTTGAGCGAAGCCAAAACTTGATCCAAAGGCGCCCTTCCATTTTTTGGCCACCTCTTCTTCTGTGCAGTCAATTTGCCCAAAAGCTGAACAAATTCAAAAGCTTTTTCAATCAAAATGTAGAGGAGATCTTCAGCTTTCAAATAATATATATCTTTTTCTTGATTTCGGTATCTTGAGAAATTTAAAAAATAGTAAAAAACGCGCATTCATAACTGGACAACCCAATATGTACTCCATTTCTGGTTTTGATGATAAAATTTGTTTTTAATGAAAATTAATGAGATCTTGAAGCTATTTGATTGAAAAATTTACGCTTCATTGAAACAAAAACAGAAAAAAAAAACTATGTTTTAACTCTTCGACAATCGGCTGAATTTCGATTCTGACGATGACGAAGGTTTTTTTTATCGCCTAAATGGGAAGCCATTTTTTTGTATTGGAGAAAAGACAGCAAATATTTCTGGGTTCTATCCGAAGAGAAGTCCGTGGACAGATATGTGTTCGGTTCACCGGAAGCTGAGACATTTCTGAACTTGATTCTCGTTCCCCATCCACTGCTACAACTCGAGCTCTTTAGCTTGTAAAGAACAAAGGAAAAGATGAATTGTAAAATCATTTTGGGTTGAAACTAAATCATAATTTTTTTTTTGAAAATATCTGTTTTATGACATATGTATGTATTGCTTTTGTACATGTTATTCAGCTCATTTATGAATATACACTACTGGACAATGAAATATCATATTTGAAAAACGATCGTCACTTTCGCGCGTCTGTAACTCCCTTGTCTTTACCGTATTTCTAAATATTAATATTACCATTGTGTAGCCCTTGAAAAGAGCTTTCAGAAAATGTATAACACTAATAGTTTAAACTCAAAGGCAGTTACAGACGCGCAAAAGTGACGATCTTTTTTCAAATATGATATTTCATTGTCCAGTGCTGTACCTAATAGAATCAAACTGCTTGACCACTTTGACTATTTTGGTTATTTCTCTTCTCGAACTCGAAACAGAGTTAAATGAAAATAATTTTACTGTGTAACTCCCTTTTCTTTGAGTTTAAACTATTAGTGTTATACATTTTCTGAAAGCTCTTTTCAAATGGCTACACAATAGTAATATTAATATTCAGAAATACGATAAAAGACAAGGGGAGTTACAGACGCACGAAAGTGACGATCGTTTTTCAAATATGATATTTCATTGTCCAGTAGTGTATATACAGAACTTGTAATTTTTTCTTTAGATCCCACCATGAACAGCCGCATTTTGCGCGGCGCTTCTGATTGTGCCCAAAGTGGCCTTCGGATGCAACTTTCATTGTTCAGTACTGTATGAATAATCTAATTTCTTTCTCTGAGCATCGTAAATAAAAATATTAACATTTCGAGGTTTTGAGAAAAATAAAACAACATACACGATACTTAGAAAGGAAACATAACGTTTCTGGTAGAGTTCGGCAAACAAAACCAAAACCAAAACAGACCAAAACAAACCAAAACTCAATTTGCATATAAATTAACATGTAAATTAAAAATTGTAAAATGCAAATTTGCCTTTCACTTTTTCTCACTCCCCAAAATCTCGCGGCCAAAAAAAGGACCAAAACACGACCTCGAAATTTCGAAACAAAAAATAGCCTATGGGATAGATTTTTGGACGCTGATTTCAAATCTACAAACAGATTTTCGCTAGCTCCTTCCAGTCGCGAGATATTGGCGAGTTTTGGTTAGTTTTGGTTTTGGTTTTGGTTTTGGTTTTGGTTTTGGTTTTGGTTTTGGTTTTGGTGGTTTTGGTTAAGTTTTGTTTTCCGAAGTCTAGTTTCTGGTATATGAAATAGCACAATGTAGCAAAATTGTGCATTTATACGTTTTAACATTTCTATTGAAAGTAAATAGAAAAAAAATAGGGTAATGCTAATTTTGTCTCAAAAACTCTTTTTTTACGATTCAATGGGTTTGACGCGACAAATTGCATAATACGACGTGTAATCATGCCCAATGCTCACCCACTTTCCGTCGCTCTTCCGAATCTAAAATCAAAAGGAAATCAGATATTGTTAAGTGAGTGAATCAATTCATTTAATAAATGTACTAAAACGCTCACTTTGAACCAGTAATGAAGGTTGTTTGACGGTCCCCATACGGGCTCTCCGGGGGCCCAGTTCGAATAGTTCCACGGGCTTCCATCAAACCATCGCCATGTGCCTCCATTGTCCTGAATTGAATATTTTCCCACTGGGAAAATAAATTGAGAATCTATGGCAGGTGAAGGGAAATAATTTTATACATCATTAACCATTGCATAGCTAGAATTCTCTGCTATCTTTCTGTTTTCTTGAAGACATGAAACGATCATGAGTCTTTCCCGAGGGAGCATATTTAAGTCAAAAGCATATTTAGCAAAAGCTGTTTGTATTTGTAGGAGAAATGGTCTAATGGTTCTTACGAAAAAAACTTATGAAAAGGGTCATTTAAAGGTTTTCAAATTATAGAGGATTTGAGCTATATGATAAGCTGAAAAATCGGAGATGCCGGATGTTTCGTGGAGATATAAATGCTGGTTTTAAATCTACACTTATTTGTCACAGAACTCAATTGACTATCCCAAATTGTATTTGTAAATTTGGAGCGATCTAGCCGTTTTTCCGTGATTAGATTAGATGATTAAAAAATCCTCGTTTTCAAGGTTTTCAAGTTATTTTCAAATTGCCATGAGCAGCAGGCTTCCACCAGAATTGCTTACCAGATATCCGCCCATGGTGACGTCAGTCGAAATGTATCCTAAAAGAAGCAAATGTTTTGGGTCAGTCTTTTGTAATATTTTATTCCACTATGCGTAAATATTTGCATTGCTTCGAGTTGTTCAATGATTTTCTATTCTATTGCTATCCTCGAATGTGATCGATTTCTGCGTTCTCACCTTGGAGAAGTTGATTATCTTTATCGCTGTGAATGGAGAGAACCTCGCCGCCACTCTCCTGACAGGCAGGTCGCGCACCGCCAGAATTTACGTAGGTTGACCTCGAGAACCACTGGAAGAGGAGGTCATTTGAAGAGGCAAATGAAATAAACAACCCACATTGATACACCAGTCTGTCGAGCCCGTATCTTGGGTGAATCCAGAAATGTAAGTGTACTCCTGACCAGCCACAATCGGACATGTCTTTTTCTAAATGTTCTTGGCTGTAGTCAACCGGGAGACTGAATAATATCTAATAAAGTGTGTTTCTCTTAAGAAATTAGAAAATGATTTCGTTTTCTAAAACGTGGATCAGAAGTATTTTTGTTCAGTATTCACATTTTAGAAAACAGAAACGTTTTTTTATTGTATCTCTAATAGCTAATACCTTTGACTAGGGATAAACCAAAGTAAAGGCTTTAGTAAAGTTTTGATAAGGTATTGGCAAGCAGGTTCACTTATTTATATACTTGCTAAGGCTTACTTTTGGTGCTGGTGTTGGGGAGCCAGAACTTGAGCCGGAAGAAGCGGCGCACGTCTGTGTACCAGGGCACGGCTTTAAACCACATGAGTTCCCGGTTGTGCCCTGGTAATTGATTTCATTTTTGAGCACTTTCTTCTAACAATTACCACAAGAAGTTCGCACATTGCGGCACAGAATTTCCCATCGGCCAAATCGTTCCATTTGCCTTTCGGGAATTGAGGGCTCTCATTTGTGATGAACAACTGAAAAGATGCTTGCTAAATGTGTATTTTGGGTTATTATAGCTACTTTTGTGTTTTTTTAAGACTTGAAATCAAATTTAACTAACCGTCGAAACGGGCTCATTGCCACCGGCATTATTTGGTTCACCGGCATTCCAATTGCTAAACAATGAAATGATTATTCACTTAAAAGTGAAATAGAGCCACACCTATAAGTTGTATTGGTACAATCAATCCAATCGCCGTTCGATTTCCCGATGATCAATTGCTGAAAGTTGTTGCTTATTCAAATTGCCAGTTAAAGTATTTTTTTAAACTTACGTCTAAGTACTTATTAGTCGGATCGTGTGTAGCACATCGATCTTTGAATGACCCTTGAGACAACTCTGAAATATTGGGTTGATGCTAAAGTTTGCATAAGGCTTCGACGCGCATTTTTGTAACCTTGAAAACCCTTGCTACAGCATGAACCTTGCTTGTTACAGCTCGGCGTATCAGAGTTTGTTAACAAGATCCACAATTTGGATAAACAATAAAATTGTTGGAGGAGCAAAAACATTACTTCGGCATTACTTTACAACTGGCGATGGTTTGATGGAAGCCCAGTGGAACTATTCGAACTGAGCCCCGGGAGAGCCCGTCTGGGGACCGTCAAGCACAACATTACTTACAATTTGAGGGACGGGACTACATATTTCGTGAATTTTCATTACCACTTACTCCAAATTCCCTCATTCTCGGCATCACAACGAATTGAGGCCAAGTCGGCGTCAGGGTGCAACTTTTTGCATTGGGCCTTTGCTTCGGCTTGATTTCCGTTCACATAGATTGGCTAAACTCATTCGTTTGGCAATCGAATACAGCTAGCTATCCGATTGGGTAATCCATTTTGCTAGAAGAAATACAGAAAGAAACTCGCACCGCATAGCACGATCCTCCAACGTCAGTGAATCCCCAAATGCCGCTGCACGTTGGAGCGACGATTGTTTTCTAAGAAACGTTATTGAACGTTATTGAAATTTGAAAAGTTCATATGAATGTTCTTCTGAAGTATTGAACTCCTACCGAATGAGCGAAGCAACTAGAAGCGCCGATGTTATCACACTAAAACCTGCCGTACGAAAAGGGACTCTTCTAAAAAAATACCAGGATCTCACACAGTGCTCCGCAAATGACGCTTTCTTGGCTGTGAAGATCGTACCACGATCCATCGGGATCTGGCCCGCCCGAAACGATGGTCATCTATGTACATTTAAAAAGTTGTGCTTTAGACATGGGCCGATATCGATTCTTTGAGTCGAGTCAAGTCACAAATCGAGTCAAATGCAAATTGACTAACATGAAGCCACATTTTAACAATAGTAAAAGTAATTTTAAATATGTGTCGTAGCCGATTATGAATGAAATTTTTTGGTAAATCTTTCTAGTAGAGCAACCCTTTAATTTAGGAGGACAATATTATATCATCTTGTAGCGAATTCAATTCTGCGTCGATTGGTACCAAATTTGTGAGTTTTGGTTAAAAATTACCGGCGCTACAACGTTTCATTCAAAATCGGCGGGACCCCCGTAGCCGATTATGCATTTCAGCCGATTATGAATGAGTGGGTCTAGGAGCGTCCAGCCATCAAGTATTTGGTATCATTCAACGCAGAATCATTAATAATTATGTTAAATTTTTAAAATTAGAAAGATTTGATAAAAAGAAAAAAAAATTAGAGCAAAAAAACTGTTTGTTCAAGATGAAACTTTGAGGCCCCATAATTTTTTTTCTTTTTATCCAATCTTTCTAATTTTAAAAATTTAACATAATTATTAACGATTCTGCGTTGAATGATACCAAAAACTTGATGGTTGGACGCTCCTAGACCCACTCATTCATAATCGGCTACGACATATAGCAAGACACTTGCAATACACATGGGCCGATTTCGATTCTTTGAGTCGAGTCGAGTCGAGTTACGACTCGAGTCACGAGTCTCGAATCAAGTCGAGTCATGACTCGACTTTTGACTTGACTCGACTCGTGGCCCATGTCTATTGTGTTGTGTTGGTATAGTTGATACGTGAGGGCTGTGAACAGTAAGGCCAAAAAAAACGGAATATTTTGGGTAATTTTAAGAGCAACAACAAGAAACATGTGGAAATATCCTCAAATAATAAAGGCTTGAGCCGAAGTAATGCTGAAAGGGCGGTTAATTTTACTTATAGTCTACATAAATTGTGAATCTTACATAATTCAATTCAGCCATTTAAAATGCTTATTTTGGGCAAAATTTGCTAATAGCCATATAGAAGGAAATTGAAAATTTTCCCAGTAAATGTAACTTTTTACCCAAACCAACCGCGGTTCCCTTTTCCTCGCCCGAATCGTCCTTGGGTTGTCCCGGAGCCCAATTTCTAAAGTGAAGCCTAGTTTCCATGGGCATTTATTCAGTTGGTACCTGTAATCCGATTTGACGTCGTTTTCCCAAGTGTTTGCAAGTTTTGCGTCTTTTAAATCATCCCAGAATCCGATCCACATTTGCTGAAACGGTTTCTTTACAGTTCTTTTCGGTCAAATGCTCACGTTCTTCCACACTTCACCCGAGAATGACGAGCATTGAGCACGTAGTTTGTTGACGGCTAGATCTAAATAAAGTATTTACTTGATGTCCGCAAAATTTGAACTTTTAATTTCTACATTCTCTATACAGTTAACAGCTCGAAAGCAGTTTCATCGGCACAAAAAATAATGTTTTTTAGTAATTAAATGGGGCAAAGGTACAGTACTGGACAATGAAATATTATATTTGAAAAAAGATCGTCACTTTTGCGCGTCTGTAACTCCCTTTTCTTTGAGTTTAAACTATTAGTGTTATACATTTTCTGAAAGCTCTTTTCAAGGGCTACACAATGGTAATATTAATATTTAGAAATACGGTAAAGACAAGGGAGTTACAGACGTGCGAAAGTGACGATCGTTTTTCAAATATGATATTTCATTGTCCAGTAGTGTATATACAGAACTTGTAATTTTTTCTTTAGATCCCACCATGAACAGCCGCATTTTGCGCGGCGCTTCTGATTGTGCCCAAAGTGGCCTTCGGATGCAACTTTTGGCACTCTTTTATTGCGTCTCCTCGATTCGCTTTTGCGACAATTGGCTAAAATGGATAAATCGATTTTTCCAGTATTCTTTTAAAGTCGGCACAAATTAAAGAGACAATCATCAAATAAAAAACACAAACCGCGTAACATGATCCCTGAATTTCCGTGAAACCCGAAAGGTCCGAACATTTCTGAACAGATGATTGTACTAAACGAATCTCCAACCAAACTTACAAGACATTCGTTATCGGTTGAAACACACGAGAAAAATCCTAAATCAGAATAAACTAATTCAATTTAAATTTTCGTATAAAAGAAGTCGCTTTTTGGCTAAGAAAAATGGCACACAAAAAGGTGCATTTTTGAAAAGGAGCGGAGACGGCAAAAAGAAACAACTTAGATACTGACTAAACTATTGTACGTACACTAATCCGCTATTTGATTGAATATGGAAATAAATTAAATGGAAAAGCTCAGTTATTTTGTCTATTGCTTCTCTTGTGAAGCTTCTATGAAAGTTCAAAAAAAAAAAACTACCGAAAACGCAAATCAGCCGCCAGGGGATTCCCATTTTCGCGAGAGTTTAGCCTATCCCGGTGTTCCTTCTCTTTAAATTACCCCAAACGAGTGATGTTTGGGAAATTTGTTTTCAATTTTCTCGATTTCGAACGGATTTCAACGATAAGATTGACAAGGTCAAGCGGGCTTTTTTTTTCGTAAAATTGAGATATTTATCTGCTTATCAGCACAAAACAGGAACAAGATTCTCGCTCAAAAATTGACTGCTCAATTGATTGGCTTAATAGAGGCGGAAACGCGGAAACGTGGTCGTTGATTTTTCTTCAGCAACAACGCCAATGATATCATCTTTAAAGGTGAATCTGGAATGAGAATCACTGAAAACTATTTCGCTGACTGGACAGGTATTCAGGAATCTTCTAGTTACCCTACGAAAACTTTCAAACCAAGATTTCGCAATTTCATCAGAAAATAATATCTTCAAACGTTGTTGGGCATAACCATAAAATTAATACCGTATTCTCTCTAATAGTAGTGCGCACTACTATTTTTTGAACCCCCTCCTGGACCGCAATACTATTAGAGAGTGCCCTACTATTAAAAAGTGCACTACTATTAGAGAGAATACGGTAATCAACGAATCAACGTATAAGGAAAATGAGGAATAAGGAAAATTTACATTTTGAAGCCTTTGTTTCCACAAATCCCCAGCCCATTTCGAGTGTTGTTGATCGATTTTGGTGAGACGATCGAAAGTCCACACGAAATCCCGTTTTATTACATCCGAAACAAACCACGGGTATTCCTAAGAATCTATCAATGCTAATTTTGTAGTAAACTAGCGTCTCTAGATACGTCTAATGTCTCTACAGTTGGGTAAAAGACAAAAGAAAATATTTTTCCGATCTACCGTATTCTCTCTAATAGTAGTGCGCACTACTATTTTTTAAACTAACCCCCTCCTGGACCGCAATACTATTAGAGAGTGCACTACTATTAAAGAGTTTTATCATTTATCAAAGTAAGACAGATATAAACTTTATTCCAAAAATTCTTGCAATTCTTTCACGTACTCCTTTGACTCCTTTTGACGTACAGTTGTGGGCCGGCGAGTTGACAATTTTTGTGTCTTGACAAACAACAAAAAGATTTTTTTGCACTTTGCACAACAATTTGAGATTTTTTGCTAACTTTTTCATGTGACGAATAGTTAATAAATGAATAAAAAAAAGCCTCACTTTTGCTTGCTTGAATAGCTTTAGAATGTCACATAAACATAAAGTCAAAAAGGTTCAGATGAAAAAGAAGCAAACAGAAATTCAAATTTTCGAGGGTGCACTACTATTTTTTTCAACCCCCTCTCGGACCGCAATACTATTAGAAAGTGCACTACTATTAAAGAGTGCACTACTATTAGAGAGAATACGGTAACCGAAAATCAAAAAAGCTTTGGCCTAACTTGCTAACATCGAATAGATCAGTTTTTAAAAAATCAAACTAATCAATCAAAAAAGTGAACAAAATTCTGTTATTTGGTTTAAAGATCGTCTTTTAGACTGCACGATGAAACTGGCTAAAGGTGATAGAGAGGGATTTGAAGGAGAATGCCTTCTAAGAACAGTTATTGCAAACAGATCTGGTGAATAATTGGTCAAATCTATCAAAAAAGAGAGTCCCTAACATTAGACACCCAGATGGATTGAGAGTTGAGCGTTTTTTTGGCCGATTCAATAGTTTATTGTGTCGTTATGGGGCAATTTTGCAACGAGAAGAACAACGCATCGGTGATCTACTCCTTCAGAAAATGACTTTCTATAGTTTACAGAAACCAGAATTTTGAAACTCGACTCTGACAGAACGAGATAAAGTCCAATTTAAGAAAAATTCTTGATAGCTCACTTTGGCTCACTATCCGGAAAAAAAGGGTAAAATCTCCGTAATGGCAATTAAAAAGTTACCCTAAAGTCTCGAGTATAAGTTCTGCCTTAATTTACATTCGCTTTAATTGCTTTGAATTTCTTTTTGTTGGGTTTTTATACATTTTTATTGTTATATAAGCTTTTATTATTGTTCTTGGAGCGCGGGATACTACAGGGTGACAGCCTATCACCATTGCTATTTGTTATGTGCATGGATACATCCAGACGATAGTGTTGAAGAAGACGCTGGAAAGCATCTCTTTCGACTGTCGACGTGAACTTTGGCCGGATGAAGAGGCCAGGGAGGGATCTATAAGACTGAGTACTGGAGAGGAGCAGGGCGGACGCGCCGAGCCACGCCCGGAGCAACAAATAACAGCATAAAATTGCTATAACCCTCAATAAATTTACTTCTATTATTGTTCTTAAAAAGCAAAAAAGTTATGCTGCAGCGGGGTTCGAACCCTCGACACACCGCACCGGAGACAGCCGTCAATTTGCATGCGAAAACCAAACAGAACTTATACTCGCGACTTTAGGGTAATCATTTGCCATAACATTGATTTTGTTTGTTTGATCCCGAAGAATTGATTGGTCCTTACTTTTTGTAGCATTGTTAACTGGAATTGAGGTTAGTTTTTGACCGTGTACCGTTAGGATCTTGTATCGTTATTACACTTATTACACTGAAAGAAAAGATTTCAAACTTTCTAATAGTATACCAGTTTCTTGTCAATTGACAGGTTGATTTTATATTTTACTTTATTCAGAATAAAACGGTTAAAACACAAGGGGTACATATCAAACATATAAAAAGGCGCGACAACAATGTCGCGAGAAAAGAATTAAAAACACGATTCCTTTTGTAAGGAAAATTGACAAGATCAAGTCGCAATCAAACAGCAATCAAATTGCAAATTGAGTTTGAATGTGATCGAGATTGTGAGGAAATTTTGGCGAAAAATCGACGAAAATGTAACGAATCAACTTTGCTTTTGAGTGGTTCACCTATATGAAATGTATCTGAAATTCGAATCGCTAGCCACTAGCCACTAAGTTAAGAAATGCAAACATTATTCTTGTTTTACAAAGTTTTATAGTGTTCATTTACAAAACAAAACTAAGCTAAACAAAAATTTTTAAGGTTCTAAGCTTTCAATCAAATCCTCACTCTTTATGTAAACAAGCTTCAAGCGTAGTGCTTGAACAACTATTGAAAAATTCCTTTAAGTAAATTTAAGCAATCAAATTTCTAACAACAAATGATGAAATTGTTTAACAGTACAGTTTGCTTAACAGTACAGTTTGCTTAACAGTACAGTTTGCTTAACAGTACAGTTTGTTTAACAGTACAGTACTCAATCAAATGTTTATTCTTATTCATCCTACAGTCTGACATCCCTGTGATGTTGGATGATGAAAGCAGAAGCACTCATGTCCCTTTGGCGCCCACCCACAGCAATCACCGAGTGGACAGCGTTTTACACGAATTCCCTTAAAAATATTTTATTATACAGGGTGGCTGACAATTACGTGCGCGCAGCATCAGCATCATAGTTTTAAACAATGTATAAAGCATTACTACTCATCTTTTTGTGTTTTAATATTCTTTTTATCGTGGTCTAATAATTTTTTGTTAAAAAAGTTGTTTTCTAGGTCATGACAAAGACGTGCGCTAGTCGGGACGCAATCGCACAGCTGGCGACGAGCGGCATGAAGAACTCGTCGATCGCATCGAGGCTTGGGGTGGCTCTGAGGACCGTCCAGAAGATCGTAAAGCAATGGAAAGATGAGGGGCATGTTCAGTCCAAGCCCGGAAGAGGACCAAAGAGGACCGTTAACACCCGAAAGATGCGTGGGATCATCAAGAGGAGGATCGAGCGAAAAGACGATCGTAGTTTGAACAAGATGGCAAAACAGCTTCAAATTTCGCGTTTCTCGGTTCAATCGATAGTGAAAAATGAGCTCGGACTTCGAAGTTATCGACTGTTAAACGGGCAAGTGCTCACCGATCAAGCCAAGCAAAACCGGAAGGAGAAATGCAAGAAATTGCGAGCTTTTTTCAAGGTGCGGCGCATTGACGATGTTCTTTGGTCAGATGAGAAGATTTTCACCTTGGAAGTGGCTAAAAACTCACAAAATCACCGTCAACTTCTCAGTCCAGCTCTCAAGAGCACTCGTAAACGAAAAGTCGCTACAAAAGGTCTGTTTCCAAAAAGTTTGATGGTTTGGGGTGGCATCAGTGCTTCGGGCAAGACCCCGTTGGTTTTTATCGATAAAAATGTGAAGATTAACGCAAAAGTCTATCAAAAAGAGATTCTCGAGAAAGCTGTGGTGCCATGGAAGAGGAGCCATCCCAATTTGACCCTTCAACAAGATTGGGCGCCGGCCCACGGAGCCAAAACAACAATTCGCTTTCTCGAAACCAAAATTGGCTCTTTTTTGACGAAGGATCAATGGCCTGCAAACAGCCCGGATCTCAATCCGTTGGACTTTTCGGTTTGGGTTTTATGGAAGAACAATTGAGAAATAGAAAAATCACCAATTTGAATGATTTACGTCGAGAATTGATCAAAATCTGGAACGACTTAGATGCAAATTATCTCCGCCGCACCGTCGATTCTGTAAAGAAGCGAATTGAAGCCTGTATCAAAGCGGATGGAGGCCACTTCGAAAATTTCTTGTGATTATTAAATGCTTTTGTTACAACTATTATATAAATAAAGATTTTTACATTTTCTTTGAAAGAAAATTAAATTATGGCGTTTTCTTTGGCGCACGTAATTATCAGCCACCCTGTATATCTAGATTTGGCTTAGTTACATTATCTGGTTTTACATTTACCTTTAAACCTACTATCAAACTGATTATTCTTAGGGTTATATTGTTTTCGCACTTGACATCCAAGCGTTCGTTTTGTTTTTTTTAAAAACAAATTCCTTTTTAGATCTTTATAATAAAAACAAAACAAGAATGATTTTTGGATAAATATTGAAAAAACAGAATTATTTGTAAAATGAAACTCACTCTTGTTTCGACTAAACAACTCTCTCCAATCAACATTAAAAGCAACACTAAATTGAGTAGAAAACGCATTTTCCTGTTTTGTTTAGTTTATGAAAATCTTTTTTACGTTTAAAAGAAACTTTTTAAAGACTAATTTGTATTCTCAACGTTTAATAGAAAAAAAGAAATTGAAACAGTACAACTAAAAAATGAGTCAACAAGGAATGATTCTAGATTCTGGATTCTAGATTCTAGTCAACAAGGAATGATTCTAGATTCTAGATTCTAGTCAACAAGGAATGATTCTAGATTCTAGATTCTAGTCAACAAGGAATGATTCTAGAAACAACAAAAAAAAAGTAGCCGTTTCATAAGAGCTTCTATAAAGAATTTTTACAGTTTTTTCAAATCCAATCACTTATTTCTTGATCGAGTTGTCGAAATTCTCTTGATCTTGAAAGTCTTGACAGACATTTGTCGCCAAATTTGGTGTCTAAGAGGGACCTTCACGGGAAGAAGCAATTACTGTATGTTTATTGGGGATCGATGAGCATTATTTTCTGAAAGATCATCTTCGTCATCTCTGTTTTTTATTCAGTTGTTCACAACTTCTCATATCCTTGGAAATTTTGCCTAATTTATTCAACAACACAGAAAAGCCTTGCAAAAAGCCATTGCTTTTTCTTTTCTAAAAAAAGGAGCTTTTTAAAAGCTCTGCATTGATTTTTGAGTTCATTTCCTACTTAAATGCCATGATGTCAAGAAATTATCGGGTCATTAAATGTTTTTGTATTTATTTAAAAGATTTAGAATGACATTTTCTTGAGATTTCTCTTGGTATTCGTTTTTCTCTTCACAATATTTTATCTGAAACTTTGGAGTGCAAATGAACGAGAAGCTTTCCTATCAAAAACAACAATAACAGGTATACACTACTGGACAATGAAATATCATATTTGAAAAATGATCGTCACTTTCGTGCGTCTGTAACTCCCCTTGTCTTTTATCGTATTTCTGAATATTAATATTACCATTGTGTAGCCCTTGAAAAGAACTTTCAGAAAATGTATAACACTAGTTTTTGGTGTTAATTTTTAAACAAAACAAGTTTTTCATCAAAAACCCGTAAAAAAAATTAGAAAAATCATTTAGTCATGCCTCTTTTTACATTCAGCTGGTTACTTTATTACTACTTACTTGGCTGTTTACTTTATTAGTTTAGTATTAGTGGGTTTGAAGTTTTCTGAGAGCCTCAATTTTAGTACCATTCGATGCAGAATAGTCGCTTTTGTTTACGTGAATAGGTACATACACTACTGGACAATGAAATATCATATTTGAAAAACGATCGTCACTTTCGCGCGTCTGTAACTCCCTTGTCTTTACCGTATTTCTAAATATTAATATTACCATTGTGTAGCCCTTGAAAAGAGCTTTCAGAAAATGTATAACACTAATAATTTAAACTCAAAGACAAGAGGAGTTACAGACGCGCGAAAGTGACGATCGTTTTTCAAATATGATATTTCATTGCCCAGTACTGTATCTATACTTCTCAAAGTTAAAGTTTAATGTTCTAACTCAACTGCAAACTTATTGCTCAAAAAAAAGCAGTAATATATAGAAATTTTGGTTATAAGTTGTTTATAAATTGCCCATTTAATCAAAATATAATTAAATTTAAAATAAGATTCTAAAAAGAAATACTTATATTTAACTCACTACTTATAACTTATAAAGTCGAATTTCGATATAACGAATTGCTTGAAACCGAAAACTTCGATATAACAAACCTAAAACGTGCCTCAAATTTTCTGCGTAGCTGCCCTGAGTTGCACTGGTGTAGCCACTGATTACATTTGGCTGAGGCAGCAGAAATTTTGAGCACATTTTCGAATTTCAAATTTGTATCGAAGTTGTATCGAAGTTCGACTGAATTTCTGAGAATGCTTCTGAGAAAGCACTCAGAAAACTCCTTTCAGAATCAGAATCACTTCAGAATCCTTTCAGAATCAGAATCACTTCAGAATCCTTTCAGAATCAGAATCACTTCAGAATCCTTTCAGAATCAGAATCACTTCAGAATCCTTTCAGAATCAGAATCACTTCAGAATCCTTCAGAATCAGAATCACTTCAGAATCCTTTCAGAATCAGAATCACTTCAGAATCCTTTCAGAATCAGAATCACTTCAGAATCCTTCAGAATCACCGCTCTCTAGTGAAGATCTCATCAAAGGTTGCCCTAGTTTCAATTTCGATTTCAACTCTTCACAAATCTTGAAACAATTGGGGAAACCTGTCGATCAGCGTTGTTTTTCTTCTCCGTAAAAGTAAACGTAAACTTTTCCTTTAGCTAAATGTCGCCGAACTCCCGGGTTAACTTTATTCGAAAAGGGTCAAATTCGATTAAATCTCGAGTATCCCAGCTATCATTTGCATCACTGCAATGCAAGGTTTTAAACTTCTTTTCATTAAGACTTCATTTCCTTTTTTTTTCATTCATTAAACTTCATTTCCCCAGTTGTGCTTACCGAGAGAACAACTACAAAAACAAACTTGGCACTTCATGCACCGTTGGCAAAGATTGTGGTCATTTCAAATGTGATTTCATTTTGGTGAACTGTTGGAGAAATGAGACACTTGTACATATCGATGCTCATATGCAAATTTGGGAACATCGGTGAGCTTTAGTTTAGTGAGTTTCAGAAATTTTCTTAAAAAGCAAACTTTCGACATTTGACGCCTGGCATTTTTGAGCAAAATAAATGCCTCAAATATCGAGGGTTCAAAAACAAGTTTTTTTTTTTTTTTTTGTTTTGAATAAACATAATTCAAAGAGCTGAAAACTTTATGAAATAGCTGAATAGTTTGAGATAAAAAATGACATTCCCATTGAAACGGGTAAATACTGTTGGAGAAATGAGACACTTGTGCATATTGATGCTCATATGCAAATTTGGGAACACCGGTTGGCTTTAGTTTAGTGAGTTTCAGAAATTCGTTTCGCTTTCGTTTTAGACGAAATCGCTCAGAAGAATTTGGTGATTTGTATAAAGAAACCGCTTCAATGAAGCATAAAGATCAAAAGGATTTATTTCTGCCAAATGTTTACATCATTATTCTCGACACAGCTGGACGATTTCCGGCGCTCAGGTAACGAAAAACGTAAAAGGAAACTTTATTTCAATTGTTGTATATCCGTTAAAGTGATTATTTATGCAAAAAGTGATTATTTATGAGATTTATGTTTTGGATTTTATATTTTCTTAATGAAAAACCCCTTCATTGACTTCTAGACAACTCAAAAAGACATACAAATGGATGATGGACGAAATGAAAGGCATCGATTTCACTCAATACACTCAAATCGGCGGAGCAAGTCGACAAAATGCCTATTCTGCATTTTTTGGTTTTCAGTGCATGTAAAGCTGATTATAATAGTTTTAGGATTGATTGGTTTAAAAGTTGATCGGAGTTTATACGGTGGATCAAATATTGAGATCGATTATAAATGCAATGAGGCCAATGATAACAAAGATTACATTCAGTTTGAGTATGAGGTCAGTGGATGGGAAGCTTTGCTTATTGTACTTTTAAAGCAAAATAAAAATTTAATAACTTTGTACGTTTGTTTACGGTTTTTTTAATCTTATTTATCAGCTTATCTAAGAAAATCTTTTAGATTTCAATTTCAATTGCAAAAGTCACTTTTTAAGTTCACTTGAATCACTTTAACTGAAGTGAATTTAAATAAAAGGATACTTTTCGGTAATACCCCCGCCACCCAAACAAATGTTTCTTTGTTGAGGTGGCTGTAGGCTGTATAGGAGTATCAAGACGCTCGTTGATAAGATTTATTGCACCCGAATCGATGATTTACAGTCAATCGTGGAAAGCCTACAACACAGCCATTTTTGAGGATGGTTATTCGCATGAGAAAGTCAACCACAAATTCAACTTTTTAAATCCGGATGATCCAAAAAGGTGTCGAGCGTATATGGGGTGCGACCAAGTGGAGAACCAAGAGAGAAGGTGGAACGAGCCGTGCTTTACTCTCAAGTCACCTATCGGAGTTTATGGTCCGGCAGGAAATCGGCAACGAGAATATTTACGAGTGAACACTCCTTCAAATCGTTCTTCAAAGATCCATCCAAGACAACGATTTAATACTTTTTCTTTTCTTTTTGATGTCTTATGATCTATGGTGTATATGTTTTTTTTGGAAATTTTGGAGTGGCGGAGGTTTAACCGAAAAGTACCAATAAAAGTTAAAGAAAATAGTTTTTTTTAACTATTTTTACTTCTTTTTACTTCTAGATAACTTAAAAGTCAAATATTTTATCTCAAATTTTATTTCAAAAAACCCTTTCAGGATGCTGGTTATCAAACCATTTTTGCTGTCGATTATTTCACCGATCTCTGGGCTTATCTCGATTGTATCGGTTTCAAAAATCGTTTAGCTACTCATCAACATCGGTTTACTAATCTACTTCTAATTAGCAACAACTTTTAGCAACTTTTAGACCTTTCACATTATTATCCCTTCTACAATCGGAAATCTGGGATTCAACGTTTGTTGTTGCTTCTTTTAACTTTAAATAAACGATTCAAATAAACGATTTCAGTCCATTCGATAAGCACAATCACTCATTCACCGATGCTCATCTATTGAAAAAACATCTACGAGATTCATCCAAATGTGGAGAACTTTATCAACATGCTTTAAGATTCTTTGAGTTATTTTTGAACTCGTACAAAGGTATTCAAAATATTTGCATTTTCAAGTCGTTTATAGTTGTAAATTTTATCATTTTCAGGGACACCAAAAATGGGTATTCTGTGGACAAATGAGGCTCATGCAGATGAGAAAATTTGGCACAACTCTGATGAATATTATGTGAAATTGTTGAGGGAAAACAAAGAACAGGTTTATCATTGAAACATTGAAGGAAATGGGTAAAAAAAATGGAGACAAAAAGTAATCGACTACATCATTTCAATTCAGAGTTTGTGCTTTATAATTTATATCGAAACGGAAAATAGATTGGAATATGAAAATTGAATGAATCGGGATTGGAAAGCTGACCACTTGCTAAAGTGTTCAGCTTTCCAATCCCTGAACACTTGCTGAACACTTGCTAAAGTGGAAAGCTGAACATTTTAGCAACTTTAGCATTTGAAAGTGTTCAGCAAGTGTTCAGCTTTCCAATCAAGTGTTCAGCAAGTGTTCAGCTTTCCAATCCCTGGACACTTGCTGAACACTTGCTGAACACTTGCTAAAGTGTTCAGCTTTCCAATCCCGATTCATTCAAATTTATTTCAATCTATTTCAAGACTAGGTTGATGCAAAAGAAATTTCGGAAATTTTTTTTACAAACATTAACTTTAATTCTTTTAGGCAAGAATTTGTTCTAAACGATAAGCATCATTAGCTACTCATCAACATCGGTTTACTAATCTATTTCAGTTCTAATTAACAATAATCCTTTTAGACCTTCCACATTATTATCCCTTCTACAATCGGAAATCTGGGATTCAACGTTTGTTGTTCAACATCAGCATCAGCATCTAGAACGGCCCTCCAACATTGTCTCAGATTGCGGATCCCTTTATCGAAGAACTCTTGATTCTCTGATTGAAAGTAGTCGGCATCCAAATCTCTATGTGCCCATGTGGTTCGTCTTCAAGAGATTCAATACCTTCTCGGAAGCGAGGAAACCAGAGTTGGCAGATGAATCTCGTAGATGTTTTTTCAATAAATGAGCATCGGTGAATGTGTGTTTGTGTTTATCGAATGGACTGAAATCGTTTATTTGAATCGTTTATTTGAAGTTAAAAGAAGCAACAACAAATGTTGAGTCCCAGATTTCCGATTGTAGAAGGGATAATAATGTGAAAGGTCTAAAAGGGTTAGTCTAATCTTTTGCATCAATCTAATAAGCAACAGTTTTTCTAATGTTAATTTTAAAAAGCTTTACCCAAATCGATTATTGTTAATGTAATCAGATTAAATGCTCTAATCATGGCATTTTTGTTAGCTTGACGATTCTTTTGTAATCATCATGGGCGATCATGGAAGAGATTTCCAAATGGATGACCCATTCTTTCGATTAATGGGTGAACACGGGAAACGCTTTGATATGGTAAAACTTTACTTACTTTACTCGGTAATGAGTTTTAGGTTGTAAACTATGTGTTGATATTTTTTGTAAAGAAAACATCAACACATAGTTTTCTGTAAAGAAATAGTTAATGCAGTAGCTTCGTCAATATTTTTTTCATACAAAAAGAGTTGTTTATTGTCTAATTTAAGCTTTTTCTAAGTAAATTTGAGCAGAAATTTGTGTGTTTTTCGAGAAATTCTTCAATTTGACAAATAAAAGGAAAAATTGAATAGATTAAGCTAAAAATTTGGCTACTTTTCTAACTTTTTATGCTCTATCTTTTTTTTATTGACACTAAAATCGATTTGTTTGGCTCATGATCATTGAAAAAAGTGTTCAAATCTTTTTATCGAGTTCAATTTTTGATCTCTCAACTTCTTGTTTCCTCAAAACCTCTTAAACTGGAGTTTCCACAAATCTCTGCGAAGTCACTTTAAGAGAATCAATAAATCTTATAGGAAAACAAATAGTTTACACTGTAATATTTTTGGATTAACATTCATTGGAAATGATTTGAAGAGCAATTCGATGCTTAATTCTTCAGACAAAAGATCGTATGATTCTTCAACGTCAAGCCTATGTCTTTAAATAATGATTATAGTTTTGGAGCACAACTTTAAATCATATTAAATCAATTCCAATTCAGCCAACCGGTTCTCGTCAAGGTCCCTTCGAAAACACGAACATTCTCATGCTTTTTTCGATTCCAAAGAGGCTACGGTAGATTTTAAAAGTCGATTTTAACCCATTGAAATCATAGAAACACTCAAATTGATGATATGATCCGTAAAAACAGCGTTCATCTATTCACCCATCACGATTTGCATGCAACTCTAATTGATATTATACGAGTAACTTAGTATACGAGCATACTTTTTAAAAAAAGCATTTATTTAGCATCAACCACTCGCTCAGTTCAACGATCAAAGCTTTTTGAAGATTAATGGTAAATTGAAGCTAATGTTTGTAAAAAAAAACCTATTCAGGTACTCTTGGAAACTCGTGGTTGAGAGAATTGGATCGAGATTTGCCAAGAGATTGTCGACACTTACCTATTCCATCTCAGTTTTGCCCATGTAATTACGGGAAAGAAGTCGTTATTGAAAAGTGGGTGTATTTGCTAAGATTTAATGCAAACACAGTTTTTTAAGTTAAACTATTAACTGTGTCTTATTGAAAAGTGGGTGCATTTGTTAAGATTTAAAGCAAATACAGTTTTTCAAGTTCTAATATTAACTGTGCATATTATTGAATAGTAGGTGCATTTGTTAAGATTTAAAGCAAATACAGTTTTTCAAGTTCTAATATTAACTGTGCATATTATTGAATAGTAGGTGCATTTGTTAAGATTTAAAGCAAATACAGTTTTTCAAGTTCTAATATTAACTGTGCATATTATTGAATAGTAGGTGCATTTGTTAAGATTTAAAGCAAATACAGTTTTTCTAGTTCAAATATTAACTTTATATTATTGAAAAGTAGGTTTATGTGTTAAGATTTAAAGCAAATACAGCTTTTCAAGTTAAAAATAGTAACATTAACTTATATAAGTTAATGTAATTAATAATAATTGTAATAGGGTTTGTAAGTAGAGTAAAAGAGGTGAAAGTCAAAAGCATTAACGCTTTTTTATGAAAACATTATCAAATGAATTCAGAAAAGATACGATTTGGTTGATTCTTCCGAAGTTGATCGAAACGTCTTTCAATCGATACCTTAACGATAACAAATTATTGAAATATTGTGAAAAGATTTCAGTGAAAAATTTGGGTATTTTTCGAATATTATGAGGATTTTTGTTAAAAATTTAAAGAAATGACAACTTTTACATTTCAGATCACTGAAATTCGTTTAATTCAAAATGGAATTGGATCCACCTTTTTTCAAGCCGATTTCTTCACAAAACGAGACGCTCATTTTTGGGTTTATTTTTTTTATTTTTTAGATTTTAAAAAACCTTTCATATATACAGGCGAATTTCAAAGAAGAAGCCGGTGAATTAAAGCTGAATCCGAGAGTGTTCACTCGGATAAATAAGTGAGTCGAGTTTACATAAACGACAAATCTCTTTTTATCAATCTGTGGTCTTGATTTAATTTTAATCATCTGTAATTTTAATATAAAACTTTAGATTCTAATACGATTTACGGTGCAAAAGCCTATTTTACAGATACGGCTCAACAGCCGATTGTCTCTTTTCTGTTCCCGATCTTGTTCTGCATCGACCCGAGTGTTATTGTAATAAACAAAAGAGCTAAAAAAGGTTAAAACAGGTTAAAACATAAAGTTTTTCGATTCTCTTTCATTAAAAAAACAACATTCCATTTGTGGGAGCCAATCTTTACAAGCTTTATCTGATAATCCTTGATAGATCATTGAATCATTCAATCTCTCATCTACTATATATAAAAGAGAAGTGTTTCCAAGTTTTGTTTCCAAGTTTACAAAATTGAGTCAAGCACTCACAGCTTATAAAATAGCTTACGGATTAGGAATGGAAACATTAACTCAACTCATTCAAAACATTTCGAAACCATCACCAGCCAAACCCAAACAAATAGGGCTTAAGAAATGAAAACTTTGATTTCTCGAAGTGTAAATGCACAAAAATTTACGGAAACCAACAATTACAATAATCCACACTTCTAATATTGTATCCACATCAGTGTTGATCATATTTAAAACAAATAAAATAAAGTGATTGAAACTTTGAAAGGAACGTTTGTCTCCAATCTCGCAATTAGATTTTAATCAACACTTCTAATATTGTAATAATCAACACTTCTAATATTGTAATAATCAACACTTCTAATATTGTATCCACATCAGTGTTGATCATATTTAAAACAAATAAAATAAAGTGATTGAAACTTTGAAAGGAACGTTTGTCTCCGATTTCGCAATTAGATTTTCTCTCGGATAATCGGCTTATTTTAATTTTCGGTGTCTGAATTTCATTTTTTTTTTTGTTAAAAAGAATCCCACAAGATTTTAAAAAGAATCCCACAAGTATGTTTAATCTGATGAATTAAGTATTTTTCAGTAGTCCTAAAATCTTCATTAAATCAAAATAAAATGCAATAAAGTTTGTACTTTCCCGTTGTTTTCTTACAAAATAATTCACGACTCAAATAGCGCAAGTGGTCAATTTTTGAGAAGAAACTGTGAAACTTCAGTTCGTTTTTCTGATAAGGGTGCCATAAGCATTTTTTGAGAATTTCAAAACTCATTTTCCACCTGTTCACCTCATTATTTTATTCTAATCAAAATCAAAGTTTTTATACTTGTTTTCACCATTTTCTATTTTGAATTTATATTCGAAACAGGAATGATAATAGATTGTGTTTGTTTGAAGAAATGATTTCTGATAAATTTCGATATTGGTCCTTTCACAATGATTGAGATCACGAAACGTCGATATGGTTGCGTCAAAATAAGCAGTGAAATCGATGCGAGCACACCGTGAGCACCCATGAGACCGAACAAGAAATTGTTCACGACTAAATGTCATTGATATCATTGTTGAAATGATTTAAATGATTACTAGCAAATTTGAATCTAATTGTAAAGCATGAGCTTCCGAATCATAGTACACCGTATAGTTGTGCTTTTGTAAATAAGCAACAATTTGTTTCTTATATGTGGGCACATTTTCAACCCGAACTTTTGACTCAATTGAACGTGAGCTCGCATGAGGCCTAATAAGAAATTGTTCACTGCTAAATGTCATTGTTGAAATGATTTAAATGGTTACTATTAGGTTGGCGGGGAAATAATGCGAATCTTTAACTTGTGCTCTTGGGAAAGTAATGGCAGAAAAACAGAGAAAACCGCGATAGTAACGGAGAAGCAGAGTGTGCACCTATTTACACAACCATAATATTATTCGAAAACATTTGTTCATTTTTTATCAAAGAATGACGGAACAAAAATTCCTTATTCGAGCTGCTTTACTCTATGCCTTTAAGCTTGGGAAATTTGCCCTAGAATCGCATAATTCTATTTCAAAGGCCTATAGCGAAGGTAGTATTAGCGGAAGCCAATTTTATCGATGGTTTGAGCGATTTCAAAGTGGAAACGAGAGTCTAGAAGATGAGCATCACGAAGGAAGTCCTCGAAAGCTGGATGAGTCTCAACTTTTGCAAATTATCGAAGAAGAGCCCACTTGCACCACTCGGGAGTTGTCGGAAATGTTCAATGTTCAGCATAGCACTATTGAAGAGCATTTACATTTGATTGAAAAGCGAAAGAGATGCGGAAAATGGGTCCCACATGAACTAACTGACTCTCAACCACAAAATTCCCCGTATTGTTGTACTTGTTCAATTTTGATTCAAAAATCAAAAGCGCATGATTTTTGGAAAACAATTGTTACTTCTGATGAAACGTGGATATTATATGATAACGTTAAGCGCAAGCACCAATGCTATCACCAAAGCAAGTCCCGGTTGTCACGTGTCACAAAACCTGGTCCGCATGAAAAGAAGTTGATGTTGTGTGTATGGTGGAACGATCGTGGATTGGTTTATTTTGAACTGCTCAAACGGGTAAAACTGTCGCAGCTAAACTTTACAGCGAGTAGTTAGAGCGTTTGAATCAAGCTTTATCGAAATCTCGACATGACACTTCAAAAATTCGGTTTTTGCATGATAATGCAAAAGCGCACAGGGCAAAGATGACCCTCCAACAAATCGAAGAGATGGGCTGGAAATTTCTACCTCATGCCCCACACAGCCCTAACTTGGCCACATCAGACTACCACTTATCCAGGTCTCTAAAGCAATTCATCTCCGATCAGCTGTTCAAGGTTTCCCAGGAAGTCGAAAATGCGGTCACCAACTATTTTTCGTCAAAAAGTCCCCAGTTCTTTGAAGATGGAATTATTGAATTGAGCAAAAGATGGAATGATGCCCTAAATAATAATGGAGAATACCTTTTATATTAATCCTCTTTATTTATTGTTTTTTGAAATAAAAATCGGGTCAAAAAAATTTGCATTATTTTCCCGCCAACATAATAATTGAATTTGAATCTAATTGTAGGAAATCTCCATGGATGCACCACTAACCTTGATAGATCACATCAGCCTGTATGAATAGAATAATTGAATAGTAGATCCATGGAACACCAAGTGATGCTAAGGGAATTATATCCTAGAGTCAAGTTTAGTTTGGAATTATATTTTAAATATAAACTATAAACTATAAACTTATTTTACTGATTAATGGTGAATTAAAGATACTGCTTTGTTTGTTTGTACATTTGTACATTAAACAAGTCTCAAAAATGATCAGCTTCAACACCTCTCAAGTAAGAAAAATAGTGAACGTTAGAAAATAACACTAAGAGAGTACTCTGGAATATTATCACTAAGAGAGTACGATGGCACTAGCTCACCTGTATACATAAAGCATAAAAGAGTTGCTTTTTGCAGCTTTCTTGTCCTCATACTCATATTCGGACAACGATTCGTGATCACATAGTTGCACCCACCAATAGATACCCATGCCTGAGTTTTACAACATTTAAAAAAAACACTAAAATTATTAGGTTGATGCATAAGTGTTTTTGTTCCTTTTCGTCTGCCGTTTCAAGCCAACAAATGCACCAATTAAACTACGGTTGATTTCATTAGAAAAACCAATTATTTTCCTGCAAAATAACATTAAAACGGGTTTAAAAATATTTAATGCCTGGATTTTCTTGAGAGTATGAAGTCGGGTAGTCAAAAAGGGCTAACTCGATGATGCGGTTTAGACACCTTAGCTAAAGAAAACCTATCTTCGTGTCAATAGATAAAAGATAGAGAAAAAAAACGTTTGATATTTCGCCAAAATTTCAGAGAAATTCATTCAGCCAATTTTTCCGTAGAGTTTTTTATAGATTTTTACGAAAAAGGCGTTTTTCACTCTCGAATTTGCTTGAAAGTGAACCGAAATTCATTTAAAAAGATGCAAATTGAACAAAAAAACACTTTTTTTATAGAGCAGACTATAGATTAATTGGTGAATTTGTTACTTTTTAGCAGAAGTACGGAAAAAACGAAAAGACTTATGCATCAACCTATTAGAATTTCTACGGTAATCTTTAGGGAATGGCTGTAGGCAACTTTTTTTTTGTAAAAGTGCTTAAAAACCGGACTAAACCAAGCTAAACGCTAAAGAAATTGCTGAGCTTTGGTTTTGGGTTAACCCTGATCGATTAAAGCACAAAATACATTTAAAAAGAAAGCTTAAAACAAGATCTTTCAGGCAATAATGACTATGGAGATGGTGGAGATGGTGGTGGTTTCTTTGATTCAAGCGATGTAGGTGGAAATGATTTTGGTGGTGGAGATTTCGGTGGAGGTGATTTCGGCGGCGGAGATTTTGGTGGAGGAGACTTTTAGCGCGGTTTATGCGAACTATTGTACATGAGATTGCTATGATTCAATTGCTAAAAAGGGAATCGTCATCAAACGAAATCCCTTTGAACGACGATTCCCTATATCAAATTCGATTCATTTAAGTGCCATTTTTCTGCTTGAAAGTGAAAGTGAAACGAATTTGCTTGAAAGTGAACCGAAATTCATTTAAAAAGATGCAAATTGAACAAAAAAACACTTTTTATTTAATTGGTGGAGATGGTGGAGAAAAGCATAGGTTAATTGGTGAATTTGTTACTTTTTAACAGAAGTACGAAAAAAACGAAAAGACTTATGCATCAACCTAATATTTTCATTTAACTCTGTTTAAATGTTATTTTAACAGAAAACGTAATTTTTCCTTACTGAATCATTTCTTGACAATCGCAAACTCATTTAGTTACTCAACTTGAGCAATTTCCATAATTTCGAAGCCGCAAAATGTGGAATATATGCTTATTATGCTTTCATAAGGCTTTCATTCATTTTATAATCACAAACCACTCACATAACCTATAGCATGAACGGCATAAATGAGCACACCGGCACAGAAAAGATGAATGGCACTGAATTGGATATATGGTGGGTAGAGGGGATCGAAACGGGCCGTGTAAATATCGGTGATATTCGAGAGATACGCAAATGATGGATGGGACTGAAATGAAATGGAATATGTTAAAGAAAGTAAAGTCATCAAAAAAAAAGTCTTGACCATTGGTATATTGCTATGAAAACTTTGTTTTTGATACATGATTCTGATCTTTCTGAACTAATTTTTTATTTTTGATAATTGTATGTAATTTAAAAAAAAAAAAAAAAACTTGTATGAGTTGTTGAAAATTGGCGGTGTTT